GTAAGAACAAAGACATGTAAAACAGAAAATAAAGTGGTAGAGGTGGAGCAAAATAGTTAACACTCCTTTTCCTCACTTTTACTATCTCATGGGTGAGTAGGTATTGTACATTTCTGGCAAAATTACTGCTACCTATTCCTTTTAATAATTGTGGTTATTTTGTAGCTATAACATAATAAGGTATGGAAAATAAGCTAACAGATGTTCTTTAATGTATGTTCTTTAATGTTAAATGTGATCACCCTAAAGCCAATGAAATCTGCTTTGGACCAAAATCTACGGACCAAAATCTACACACCTCCTTTAGATTAAATTCTCTTTCCCAAAGGAGACTTGTTAGCAAATATAGAGCAAATAGAACAAATAACAGCCGAGCAGTAATTGCTTACGTAGAGAGGTTGTAGAGAAGTTCTGTAGGGCAGAATGTGTCTAGTCTCTCTGCCATCAGCCCTTGGCTGAACTTCTCCCACTGGCCTGGTTGCAAGTCTTTGTAGCACTTTACTGCTTATTCCTGAGACAAAGAGAAAGTGTGTGTTGGTTCAGAACTGCGCCCAGGACTGCTTTCAGAGCATGCCTCTCCTCTTCTCCCAGCTTTAAAGCAGTCACCAGGAAGGTGATGGTGACAAGTCTCTTGATTACCAAGTGAGTCTTCTTTCCTCTATCCTTCACACTGGATTGCGAGAAGTCTAGTTTTCGCATTTTTTTTTGTTTACCTTCCTGTAGTGATAAGCAAAACAGCTAAAAGGGAAGAGGAAAAGGTGAGAAGCCACACTAGCAGAAGCAAAATGTGGGTCTGTCACTCTGAGTGTATCCTAGAAACCACAAATCTGTATCATCCAAGCGTGAAGTGTTTGTGAAGTTTTTTTTTTTTCTTCTTCTACAACCTCCTTTCCTAGGGTGCCCTGTACTTGCTCACTGCCTGTCCAGACACAGACAGGAAATCAAGGACAGGAGGCAGCAGCTGTTGTACTTGAATTTCAGGCAGTCCATATGACTTTGCCCCCTGGCAGTGCTTCTCTACCCAGGGATACCAAAGACTGTAGCTCAGTCTGGCTGCTTTTTGTTGTCACTGGAATGCTGTGACACTCTCCCCCACCCTTGATATTTCTGCAGTGACTTCTTCAGTATTCCACTGGGCGTTTATCCTATCCAGCTGCTGTTTTGTAGCAGCTACAGCTGCTGTCATCTCCAAGTGCTAGAGAGCAAATTTGGGAAGGGGGTCTTCCCACATCACCTTACCACATCTTCCCACCTCCCCCTCCTCTCTCCTTTTTGCTCCGTGTTTCGTTTCAAAATGACAAGCCTACCCTTCCTGGCAGCGGAAAGGAGAGAGTCCAGCAAGTTTGGATGGAGTAGATAAGGAGTGGAGGCGCCTCCCTCCTCAGGATACACTCGCCTCCCTCCCAGCCTCCTGCTCTCCTCCTCCTTCCCAGGGTGGGGTGGCTTCGGTGCCGAAGGGATTAGCCAGGAGGGCGGAAACCTCCTTACCCTCCAACTGCCGAGGAGAGTTTCTTTGGACTGGGAGATACCTTAGGATCCAGAAGCCCCAGCTAAGCTACGGACGCCTCGGAAACCTGCGAGTTTTCATCTAAGCAAAAGCGCACCAATATTCCTTCAATTCTACCTGCTTTGGCTCATTCTCTTAGCACCCCACCCCCTGCAATCCATTTCAGCTTTCTTTATTATTATTACTAATATTATTTAAAAATATATATACACACATACATACATACATACATTTTTTTTTCTTTCTGAAGAGAGACATAGGAGCGATACGTGAGGGGGTTGTAGTGGAGTGGGAACGAAGCGCTTTGATTAGAGATCTCCAAGGAGAAGATTGCTCTCTCCAGATGCTGATTTCCAAAGCACTTGACAATCACCGGCAGAACCCGAGAGCAGGCTGCGGCGGCGGCGGCGGCGGCGGCACCGGCCAGGGGGCAGTTCCAGCCTGGTGCTGAGTCCTGCCCAGCGCGCCCTGGACGGACAGACACCCCGAGACCCAGCCGAGACCCGCTCTCCATCCAGTGCCCTGGAAGAAGGCGGCCAGCTCTACCGCCTGCCAGGGAGGCAGGCTGGGATAAAGCGCGAGTGGCAGTGGAGGCCCCCAAGGGAGCTCCGGAGGCTCGTGGTGACCTGCGGCGCCGGCAGCCCCCAATCCACTCCCGGCTCTGACGCGGCCGGGCGGCAGTGAACACAGCCTCTAGTTTCCCGAGCTCGCCCCACCGCGCCCCGGGTGCCTCTGCGCGCCTGGCCCCACGCTCCTCCGAGACGGCGATGGGTCCTAGTCGGGACTGAGAGCCCCTACTCCCTCCCCACCCCCTCCGCCTGCCCGAGGGAAAGCCGTGGTCCGCTCCGCCCCTTCCCTCCCTGGTGCCCCCAGCTCCCCTTCCCTCTGTCCCCTTCCTTCTCCGAACCCACTCCCGGGCCACCATGGCCGCGGCCATCGCCAGCGGCTTGATCCGCCAGAAGCGGCAGGCGAGGGAGCAACACTGGGACCGGCCGTCTGCCAGCAGGAGGCGGAGCAGCCCCAACAAGAACCGCGGGCTCTGCAACGGCAACCTGGTGGATATCTTCTCCAAAGTGCGCATCTTCGGCCTCAAGAAGCGCAGGTTGCGGCGCCAAGGTCTGTGTGGGTCACTGTTGGGAGGAGCACCCTAGGATCTCCCCATCTCCCAGTCTGCATGGGGACTCTTCGGGCTCCCCCTTCCCTCCCTCGGTCTACGGGTATCCCCTATCTCCCCAGTCTCTCTTCCGGCGCTCGGAGCGCTCGGACCGCGGGAGCTGGGAACCTGCTCTCAGGCAACCTGTAGCCACTGAAAACTCAGCCCAGCCAGCAGCCCGCAAGTTGGCCCACTCCCGCCAGCAGCCTCAAGCTCTTCAGTCTCATGTGGGATGGGTTCCAGAGAAAATCTCTTTTTACTCCCAGGGTTTTGGCTTACCCCGGGGATAGAGCCTAACTCCACAATGCTGCAGAAAAATCACACCTTGGGATTGCGCTGGTTTCTTCCAGTGTGATTGGAGGCGTCAGGAATCTCTGTGTATCTGGCCTCACTTGGCCTCCTAGGTCTTCGGGACACCTCCTTAGCTCCCAGACCTTGGTAAAGTGTGATCCCCACAGCGCCTTCAGCAGGGGCTGGTGTAAGAGAAGTGAGTGGAGGGTATGTGTGAACTGAGGGCTAGCTCAATTGAAATTGACCAGAAACCTGCTTAGCCTGCGATATTGCACACTCTGAAGCCTTTAGGTCATATCTTGGGATGCGGAGAAGGTCACAGAGTAAGGAAGAATGAGTCTGATTTGGGGGGAGGGGAGGTTGGCCAAGTGTACATCCCCAATATGTATCAGTTTTAATTCAAGGACTCACGAATTACGTGAGGCAAACCAAGTAGTTACTACATACAGATGACTAGAATAGTTGCCTTACTCTCTATATATATTTCTTTGAGAAGCAACTGATGTGCAGCATGACTGTCTTTTGCTGCCTTTCAAATGTCAGGGTCTGAGAAGGCAACTCACTGAGGAGCCAGAGCCCAGCGGCTTTGGTTCATCCCTGCTCGTCTCCACGTCCAGCTGCGAAGGGCGATTGCTTTCAGAGCATGTGGGGTGTTCTGTGGGGAAAACGGGGATTGCTTGCTTTTCATAACTCTGTGGGCTTAGCAGGAAACATCAAAGAATATATTTACGTTAATAGGAGTATATGTTTGCCCAGCACATTGTGTTCTCGGCGCCCAGCTGTATTTGTTTTAAATGCCCTGTTGTTCCAAAGGCAGGAAAGAAAAGGCATGTGCTCTACATGTGTGTCTATGTGAGCGTTGCACACATTTACAGATTTGTGACCAAAAGTTTTAAGGCTCATTTAAAAAAAGTCTAAAGCTAAACAGTTTTAAAGGACAGTAATAGCTTATTGTCACAATTAGAAATTGGAGATTACTTGCCCTTAGAATCAAGCTTAAAAGGCAAACATCTGAGAAAAATCAGAGTGATAGTTTTAAGGGAGATAAAAATTATATAAATATAATATTTAATTATATAAATATAATACTTCTTGATGAAGTATTTGGTGGGGACAGTGGTATTTTCAGAATGGTGCAGAAGCTATTAAAAAATGGATTTTAATTTTCCACTTTAGCCTAGAGCTTTATCCAGCAAACCTTTGTACTATAAGGCCAACTCACTGTTTTAAATATTATTGATCTGTGGATGGTCATGTTATCATGACTTAAAAGTGTTTGCTTCTCCACTTGTTTCAGCGGATTATCTTTTAGAACTCAGTTCTCACCAGGCAGAGCTCCAAATTTGTCATCTACTTGAAGTAAATAAAACTGTTCTCCTCTAGATAAGAACATTTTAATGTAAGCCGTGATGAAAACTTATTGTGTGTACTCTTGAAATGCATAACCAGTAGATTATTTTATAAATATGGACAATAAATGTTTTGTGTCAGATTGGGTGATGAAGTAGGTTTTGCTTTATACTTCTGAATTTTAATATGAGGCTATACATGTTCTTAGATATAGAAAGGTTTCTGAGCTCCCTAGTAGTCTATTTCATCATTTCAGTTGTGATTGTCTTCTTGATATTAGTGACTTCAAAGTGATATGCATGACTTGGTGATCTGTAAGAAAAATACAGTTGGGGTCTCTTTTATTACCTTATTTTTGATGGGAAAATGGAAAAGGAGATAGGCTAGAAGGAAATTTCATTAGAACCTCTTCTTTTAACCTCCTTATATATTTCTTATATATAAAAAAATAAATTCATTAGTGAAGAAAAAAATAGATCTATCTCGAGTATCAGAAAAAAATTAATTTGTTATTAATTTAATAAAAAGAAATACTAAACTTTATATTATGCAAATTATTTATTAATATATAATTGTATGATTTTATATATAATGATGTATAATTATTAATATTACACCATTTTATTAAATATTCTTTTAGGAAATATTTTTATGCATATTTACCTTTTCCTCTAATACTCACTCTACATTGGATGTGCCCCCAGGAAATTTTAAAAATCTGTGTTGTTAATTTAAAGATTCAACTTTTAGGTATGGCAATTTGTCATTAATTTGACAAATAGCGATTGGATCTTTATAATATGTCAGATTCTGTTCCAGACATTATATGTAGAGTAGTGAATAGAGCAAATGAAGTTCCTTCCATCATGGAGCTTACAGATATGGTGTAGAAAGTCATTGTGTATGTAAAGGAACAAATTAATAAGAAACCACAAAACTCAAAATCCTGTAAGGCATAAAGAGGGATGAGATAGAGAACCATGGGGAGAGGGACTTAATTAGATCAAGGATGCAAAGGTTTGAGTGTAATGTGTGTGTTTGAAGACCCTGAGGTGGGAAAAATCTTAGCCTGTTGGGAGGAGCAAAGGAAGTATAGAAACTAAGTATGCTTTTATTTTGTATCAGTCCATTTTGGCTTAAGTTTACATTTTGACACGTAAATACAAATACATTTGACATGTTGGCAAACAGAATAAAAAGAATAGCTCCATATATTGTGGTTTGGGGACAGGTAATACACATTTCTTAAATGCATATTTTTTTTCTTGTTAATGCTTCTTTAAGTAGTAATTAATTTAATGTGGAGTATGATTTATATGTACTTAAGCTCTTGTGAGTGGAGCCCTATCCTCCACTTTGATCACCTCCAACCCCCACAGAAGGATAATTTTTATGCCAGTTGAGTACCAGTTATGCCATTTTGTCCTCTTGTAAAGGACAGAAATTTGCAACTGGCATTTAATGGTTGTGTGGGCACCATGGCTCTATCCCAACTTTCCAAATTCACCTCCCCCTATTCTTCTCCTATCTCCATAGACTGCATACCTGTGCTTTTGTTTGTGCTTTCCTTTGAGCATAGAATCTTTTGTCTTCCATCTTCACCTGTTGAAAGCATCCCATTTCTTAAAGCTTGGATAAAATGTCATCTCCTCTGAGTAGTCTTACCTCATTGAAGATAAGTAAAAATCTCCTGTGACATTTTATACCTCACTATTGCTGTTTGTGTTTGATGATAATTAATCAAGCACCCATATTTAGTAGATTTTAGTTAGGAGCAAAGTCTATATTTTTTTCACTTTCATAGGCTCACAAATATTGTTAGAGTGTCTGCCATGTCCTGAGTACTTGTTATTGCCCTTGAATTGAAGTGAAATAAGGAAAGTCACCAGGTTCAAAACTAAAATAAAAAGTGTCCTGGAATGACAGTGCTCTAACTAGACCATTTTAGAAATATGTACTTTTCAAATTTTTACATCCTTTTACTCTTTCTAAATACATATAATTTATCCATTTTAAAAGGAAATACAAGATGACTACATATTTGGGAGTTAGTCTCAAAAACACAAGACTATCTAACCAACCTTACTTTAAGGTGTAATTAATTCATAAAACAAATTATTTAGATATCTGTTAATTTAGCTAAAGAAAGAAGAAGGCACAGGCAACAAACGATTTGCAAATAGTTTTATTATTTGACTCTTAATAAAAAATGAAAACTAACATAGAAACTGTATCCAATGAAGTATAATGAACATTTTACCCTAAAAGTGTCACATTTTTATTACCAGTTTTTAAAACAAACAAGGACCTTGATTGCCTGTAGGATAATAACTTTTCAAAATCTTCAGTGTAGCAATTGCTTCTTGCAATCTACGTTTTTTTGACTCCTGTCAGAGGAACCATAGTTTCATGTGACATATATGTTTAATCAGTAGCTGTGTGGGTTTCTCACTAACACATTTTACCTAAAATAAATTGCAGGATATCATAAGAAACAAGAAATGAAAAAATAGCTACGTAAAATATTTTTCAAGTTATTCTGTAATATAAAAAGCAGAAATGCATGTACACCAATATAAACAAAACTGCTTTGTTCCAGTGTGGTAGTGAAACCCATCAGCTAGCCTAAGAGAAGAAAAGTGGCCTGCATTCTTACCAGGTACTATATAAGGGAGTAATCAACAGCAAGGAGTCATGAAAAGAGGACCTTTCTTTGTGCCACTGCTCTGAGCCATTACCATGTGAAAATGCAAAGACAACCTGCTTATTTTGTCTGTTTAAGTCAAAATAAAGCAAGAGAAAAATTTTCCCCAAAGGATCATCCTTCTTGTCTTTTAGAAGTGTATTTTTTTTTTAAGTTTTCTAAGTCCACATTCATGGGAGTCTTCCTACTTATCTTTTGATAATACCAGTTGTTAACTTTCTGATAATCAGAAATTTATTGCTTGGTAGTTGTATTAAGGTAAGACAAAAACTATATTTTTTCTCAATTGAAATGTCCAATTTTTTAAACAAGGGTATTTTGTCAAACACAGGGTTTCTAAGTGAGAGATCTCACAGGAATATTACTGAATTGGTAAATAAAACAAGGTTAGAGAATAAAAACAAATGTTGACCTTGCTTGCTTATGTATTTTTCTGTGGCTTAATTTTTATGATTTCAACATTCCACATTTGCTTTAGGCTTCTGAAAATGGATAATATCAAAGTGGTGCAATAACTTAAGTGTAAGGTAGCATAGTAGGGTAGGTAAGATGTAAGTAAGGTTAAGTAAGATGGTTTGCTTTGAGTTGAGTTAGACTCATAGATTGAGTTGAGTTTAT